TGGGGAGCAAGAAAGGTGATTCCGAGAAGGAGGAAGATGCAGCTCGCTCCTGCGACCTATCTTGCCCTTTTGTCCCACAGTCCAGAGTCCGGGAGGCAGGCTGTGGCCTCCACCCTGGGCCCGGCCCTGGGCAGGCTTGGATCTTCTGCCCTTGGCTTTCTCCCTTATCAACCAGCCAACCTTGGGGGCCTCATGACTTCACAGCTCAGCCTTTTGCCTCCCACCCAGTTTGGCTCCAAGGCAGGGTAGGACTAGTCCCTTCCCTTGGCAGCCCAGGAGCCCTGCGGTCCCCAAAACTGTGGGCTTGACCTCTGCGCTGTGGGTGATGAAATGGTGTTTCCTGCTGTGGAGGGAGGGAAGATGTGCCACCAAGATCAGGGACAAGCTCTTAGATAATCTCCCATTCAGCTTGGGAGGATGAAAACAAACGAACGGGGCTGTGGGGAGGGACCCTCCCGCCCCAGAGTTGTTCTGGTCAGTGCACGCAGCAGGACACGCCCGAGGTCAGGGCTGCACGACCCACCTCGTCCGGAACTTGGTCTCCGCAGTCCTCAGAGGCCCCGAGTTCTCAACTCCGGGCAAGCGTCTCAGGCCAACTGTGCATCACCCAGCACAGTGTAACTGCTCTCGAGGTGGGCGCGCGGGGCGGAGTCGGGGCACTGGGTGCGCGTGCAGCTTGGCTGAGGGTGGAGGGTGTGAAGGCGTTTGCCCACGTTTGAGGCTTTGAGGATCGCGCACAGTGGACCGTGCGGTGGGGACGGGAGGAGTCTGGGGGCATTCCTAGGGTTCTTGCGCTGCCTGCTCCCCCATCTCTGTGGCCTTTGTCACTTTCCTTTACGGTGTAGGTACCAGGGGCGAAGTGCCTGGCTGGCGGCATCCACAGCCCCAGGTTGCTCCGTTCCGATAGGTCTTGTGGAAATGAACCCCAGCCTTGCCTTCTGTGCTGGCTGCCGAGACTCGAGCATTTAGCTCTGAGAAGCAGGCCCGCCTGCCTTCCAGCCCCACCAGCTGGGGTCACCGCCTGGAGCCGCTTCCACCTGGGCTCCCTCGACTTCCACCTGAGCCTCTCTTCCCACCCCCAGCCCCTCCCCCACCACCCGTCTCATTGCATTTAGCCCACTGACCTGGGAGAATCTGAGGACACCCTGGCTTCTCCCCCTGAAAAGTGGCCGTGTGGAGCTCGGGGCCGTTCCCAGCCTCCCTGCCCCCAGCTCTTGGCTCTGCGTGGCACTGGTGGTCATTGGGAAGGCAGTTGTGCCTCGGCATTTTTGTGTGGTTGGCAGCCCTCTGTGAGGTTGGCCCTGCCGTTTGGGACGGGGCAGGGCGCCGTTAAGTAACCGGATTTTAGGAAAACGGAGAAACTGGTAATTTTTTCTTCCTTTTTTCTTTTTTTAAAGCTCTGTTGTGAGATTTCTGGGGACACGCTAATGGAAGCCTTTCCCTTGCAGGGGGAGGGCAGCGCTCAACCCTTCCCTGGCCAACACGATCTCCCAACCCTACCCCAAAGCCCATCTCTCCAGGCTGCTCGGAGTGGGTTTCCTAAATGCTGTTTGTATCCTGTCCGCCTGATGGCACACACACTGGGTGGAATAAATTAAGCAAAGACAAGACTTCCCAGGCCCAGATGCTTCCTACCCCTACAAAACCCAGCCAGCTCCTCTCTCCTGGGAATTCCCGCTCTAAAGATTGATAACCGGACACTAGTCTAAGGAGACCCGAGAGTGTGACACAGGAGGATAAAAGTGGAGGTGCAATCCTTCATCCCTTCACTTACTCGCCCAGCAGATGCTGAGTGAGCTCCGGCTCTGTGCCAGGCACACCCTGGGCGCTGGGGATGGGGCACCGGGTGAAACAGCTCACGCGTCTGCCCTCAGGACGCTGGTATGCCGGGGAGGGCAGGGGCAAAGAAAGACCAGGAAACCAGTGCATCTATGTGACAACAGATTTGATAATTTCTGGGAAAATTCACAGGGAAATGGAGGAGGGAATGCCCAGGGGACGGTGGTTATTTTGTTCCCCGATGGCCTGACTGGAAAAGTGTCATGTAACAGAGTCCCTCGTTGGGGGCGGTGGGAAACCCCCAGTTAGGCAGGGAGTGCAGACCACGTAACAGCTGGTGCAAAGGCATGATGCTCGAGTGTGGAGGGACAGCCAGGAGGCCCGGGGACCGCAGGGCTGGGGGCTCCCGGGCAGGGCATGGTCAGAGGAGGGGCAAGTGGAGCAGCAGGAGGCCAGACTGCCGAGGTCCCTTGGGTAAAGGAGGATTTACCGTGAAGTTTTGCACCCACTGGCCCCTGCATCTTTCTTTTGCGTCTACCGTCTTGCCTAATTTTTTTAGAAAGCCCCCAAATCATGTAAGCGTCAGAGTCCCCAAACTTGGGTTGCAGGCTGTTGTAGCAGATCTGGGTGTTTCCTCCGAGTGACGCAGGATATCATTGGAGAGATGTGTCAGGAGAGTGACATCACCTAAGGAATCTGTTAGAAAGGAAGGGACAGGGAGTTGCTGGAGTGGTGGCAGCGGTGGTCCGGAATCTGAACTGGGTGAGGCGGGAAGTGAGAGCAGCAGGGGGCGTGAGACGCGGCAGGATGGGACCAGCACCGGGGGGTCAGAGAGCTGCAGGGGTCAGGGCTTCACAGCAGGAGGCCTGGGCGGACGCTGAGGACGCTGAACCCAAGTGGCCGTTGGGTCCTAATGGTTTGTTTTCCACAAGGTTCCCTGTGTTCCCCTGGGACGTGATATGTGGTGGCCTTGAAGCTGCCCTGTCTTCTCTTGTTTATTAACACCGTTGTTTCATATCCAAAAAGGATATTTGTTTCAAAGGCATTTAAATGTTTTTCTTTTCTTTTCCTTCAGGTAGAAAATCCGTGTCTGAGAGCCTGAAGCTTTTCGAGCTGAATCTCGCCCTTCCCCGGTAACCCTCCACCCAAGGAAGGTCCAGAAAGAACCCCAGGGGGGCCTCCCTGCTACCGCAAAAGCAGAGCCCCCCTTCCACTACCAGGTAAGGCTGCGCCTGCCCCCGACACCCTTCCTTGGAGTTTGCATCTGTGGAAAAACACCTTAGTGCGGCAATTTTATCTTGCGCAAGAGAATTGCAGGGACCTTCTGTTGGCTCCGGTTTGCAGATCGAAGTGTCTTTTGTGGCTTCAGGGAGCGGGACGGGGAGAGTCACCAGAGCCCCGGGACCGCCGCAGGTGGGATTTTGTACGGAGTGGCTGCTGAAAGCCATCAGCCTGGCTGTGCGATTGTTATCCCAGGAAGGAGGGTGGACAGGGTGCAGTGTCCACTGTCTGGTGTCAGCGCGAAATGCCGTAAGGCCAAGGTCGGGGCCTGACCCTCCCCCTGCACGGTTCCGTGTCCTGCTGCCACATCCCCTGTAGCCCTGTGATCACCCCATTCCCCCTCCCGTGGCTGGACTGTGCTTCAATTCTGGCACAAGCCGCCCGGAGTTACTGGCAGATCCCACTGTCTCTGGGGGCCGCTTCCCCTTCTGACCACCTGGCTGCAAACTTGAGGGTTCCTACGACCCCCTCAGTTTCGACAGTTTGCTAGAGTGACTTGCAGAACCCCAGAAAGAGCTACACTTAGGATTACGGTTTTATTTCAGAGGGTGCACGTGGAAGAGGTCTGGGAGGGTCCTCCTGGACCGGCCTGGAGCTTCATGCCCTTCTGTAGAGTTAGGACGGCTTTCCCTGCCAGCATAGCCGGGGAGGGAGGTCAGAGCGGGGCAAGGAGGCCGCTGCTTGTCCCGGGGGGGGGGGCGGCTGTGTGATGGACCCAGGATGAAGAAGGCAGAGGGTCTGGGGACGTGCCGGAGATGAGAATTTTAGACAATACGTCTTCTACACTGAAATCACACTGGCGCCCCACTTCCTAAGCCATTGGGGGCCCCTTAGAGAGTCCAGCAAGGACGACCGTACGCCCCGACTGCCCTGGGATGGAGGTGCAAGGCCACGTGGCCGTCCAGAGGGCCCCACCCCCCAGGACTTTCTGAAGCTGCCTCTCCGGGGCTCCCACAGCATGGCCGTAAAACCAGAGCTGGGGCGCCGTCCCCACTTCCTCTTTACCGCCGTGTGCACCGAGATAGCAGCCTTGCCAGCTCTCTGAAGCGACCTCGCTGGACGCGTGGTTTGGGGCTGACCTCAGTGCAGTCCTAGTGACCCCGAGGTTCACGCTCTGTCTCCTGAATCTTGGGCTCCTGGCTCTCAGCAAGTGTATGTGGCTCTGTCCCTGCGGGAAGGGCAGCAGAGCGTCTGCATCCTGCAGGCAGGGGACTGCGGATCGTCTCCCTGACTCCTCGGAGGATATTTCTCCTTGCTGCCTCCTTGAAGGAGGGTGCGGGGCCCAGCCTCGCCTTTCTGTGGGTCTGAGAACCAGCATTCTCCTAAGAAGGTAAATCATCGGTGTCATCAAAGTGAAAAGCACCAGACTGGCTGGTCCGGGTGGCGGCGCTGGTATTCAGAGCTCAGCGGGGTCGTGTGTAAGCTCCTTTGGGCCCAGGGCTGTTTCTGGGTGCACACGCCTCTTCTAGCCCCTTGTAGCTCCCGAAGGCATGTCTGAAGTTGTGAAACAGGGAGTGAGCATCAAGGGTCTTCTCCTTTCCGGTGGGGTGAAGTCCGGGGGGAGAGGCATCAGAGGGAAGACCCTCACGTCCCGTTCGCCCTGGGCAGCATGAAGCCTGCAGAGGGAGCCGGGCTCCATGTGTCACCTTCTGATCCCCTTCAGGCGGGTGGCGGGTCTCTGAAGGGAGCGGGCCGGGCACAGGGATCACCGTCAGGTGTGCAGTTGCCCTCGCGCCCTGCAGCGGTGCCTCGCTCCCGATGGCATCCAGGTGCAGGCTTCAGAGGGAGCTGCCAACCCACCCCTTGGGTGCCCCTGAGAGCTGAGGTCTGGAAAGAAAGCTAGGGAAGGGCAGCAGGCGTCCCATTGGCTTCCCGCTCTCAGAGGCCCCTCGCCCTGACTTGATCATGCGCGGTGGGAGCAGGCACTTTGGGGAAGAGCCCGCCTTGGGGATGGAGGTTTGGGGGATGGCAGTTGGGGGAGGTGAGGAGCCAATACAGGAGCGCAGGGAGTTCCTGCACGTGTGTGTCTTCTACGCCCGCTCGCAGTGGAAGGTCGCCCAGAGGAAGTGCTCCCTGGTGCGCTCCGGGATCAGGGATGGAGAAACTGCAGGGAAGAGCCTGCTGGAACCTCTGCCCCCTTGAGTGAGGCCGGTCTACTCCCTGTGGCATGTGGGCCTGTCTGGTGCAGCTCCCCGGCACCGCAGACGTGTCTTTCATGGGTCCCAGGGCTCAGGTGGGGGCAGGAAAGGGTCAGAGGAGGGCGTGGGAGGAAGCCGTCTCCTCCCAGGCTGTCGCCCCGTCGCTGGCTCCCTTCCTCTGCCTTGGAAAGGGCCCCATAAATTAGATCCCATTCTGAGGCTGATCCTTTAAATATGGATTTGATTTGGATTTTACTGTGTAGTAAATTCTGAGTCCTTATTAAAAACATGGGCCGAAATTAATCTGCTGCAAAATGAGATTTGTCTCTCGTGTGCAGTGGCCGGGGCCGGGGGCAGAGGTGCCTCAGGTCAACAGGGAGGGGACCCGCCTGCCCGTGTCGGGAACAGAAACTCCCCGTCGACGTCACTGGCCCCTGTCCCCAACCCTCCCCTTCCTCTCCACCCTCTGCCACCACTCTCCTCGGCCAGCCTGAATCCTCCCAACCGCAGTGCTGTGGGGCAGGGTCACGCAGCCGAAGCAGAGAGCACAGCTGGCTATTCCTTTTCCAGATGTTTTTTTGGGGTGGGGGAGCACCTCTGATTTGGAGCCGACTGTTGAACAAAGTCTTCTGCTCTGACTTCTGGCTCCTCAGAGGGGAGAAGGGGAAGTCTGCACCAAAGTTTACTCCTCCTGCTCATGAAGAGCGGGTTTGGGCTGGGCCAACAGCACTTTTTCAAGTGCAGGGGACAGCGTGTGGCCAAAGCAGGGGCCGCTGCACATGGTGGGGTGGGCGTGAGCGCCTTGGGGCTGGCACACCCTGGGCGGCTGCCCCCCCAGCATGAGACCCCTCTGTCTGCCCGGCCCCCGCCCTGGGGGAGGGACCCCTGGGCAGCAACACGCGACTTCCCATAAATCACTCCCGGATGAGCTCGCTTCCTGCACCATCCATCACACTCATCTCTTGTCTGCTTGTTTTTAAAAGCTGTTAAACTGGAATCGGTCACATGGCACCCTCGGGGGGCCAAGCCGCGGCAAAGGCTGCCCGCATCAGCAGTATTAATGTACGTGGAGCTTTCTAGAGCATCGAGGTGAATGTCTCCCCCGTGGTGGGGAGAGGGAGAGCGTGACTTTATCTAGTTACACCATAAGCTAATGGGATGTTTCTCTGACACGTGCAGTTAATACGTTCCTGCCACGCGTGAGGGCGCCCCGGTGGCTGCTGGGTAGGACAGGTGACGCCCACCCGGACCGTGAGGCTGGTGAGCCGCCCTTCTTGCAGGGGTGTCTTCTTCTCATGCCTGATAATTTTAATTCGAAGACTTCAGCTTGAGACAGCTTTTGGGAAGATGGGTCCTTCTGGAAGCACCTGTGGTTGCTCTTCTATTGCTAAAGGAATTTGGAAAAGAAGATTTGGGAGGGCGCTGAGATCAGCTTTACTCCCCGCCTCTGGACATTTCTGCTGGAACCAGTTCTGGGGGGGGGTGCCCCCGAGGAAGGGGGAGAACCTGAAACCTTTTTCATGTTCTCTCTCTCTCCCCCCGCACCCCCTCCTCTAATTGAGTGAGGAAGGCCTGGCCCCCGCTTCACTGTGGCTGGAATCTTCCAGGCTTTTTAACCCCCACTAATTGACTGGTGCCAGATTTGCCTCCAAGAACCCTTCTGTCTGTCCCAGACAGATGTCACAAACCTCGGTGGCACTGGTGATATTTTGTCCCATCTGCTTTTGGCTTCTTTGCTATCCTTTTCTTTGCCTTGTATTTCTTCGTTGCAGTATGAAACTGCTTGTTGGCAGTTTCTTAAAAAAAATCGGAGAACAGACTAGTATTTTTTGTGGGTGACCTTTGAGCTGTGGGAGTGAGCAGCCCGGGAGCTGTCCCCGCCCCCCCGCACTGGGGCTGTCCAATTAGAGCCCGTTAGCCACTCTGTGTTAAAGCATTAAGAGCAATTAAGGGTGAGAAGAGTTTCCAGATGTAGCTTCAGCTCTGGGGCTGGAAGGGAAGCACTGCTGGCTGGTCCCCAGATGGAAACGGTCGGAGAAGGAGTGGCAGGAATCAGCAGCCGTCTCATCGGAGCCCAGGGCGTCGGGATGGGGAGCCTGTTGGTGGGGGGGCTCCATATGCAAATGCTCCGTGGAAGGGTCCTGGGGCTGCACAAAGGGCCACAGAATGGGGGCCTTAAAACAAGAGAGATTTATTCTCGCACGTCTCTGGGGGCTGGAGGTCTGCAACTGAGGCGTCAGTGGGGCCCTGTTCTCTCTCCAGATTCCGTGGTCGCCGACCGTCCTTGGCGACCTTGGGTTCCAGTCTCTGCCTCCGTCACCAGTGGCTTCTCCTCTCTGTGTCTGTCTGTGCCTGTGTCTTAACACCGCAGGCCCCTCTGCGCGTGTACGTGTGTCCGAGTTTCCCTCACCTTGTACAGACCCCGGCCGTGGGTCAGGCCCGACTCCAGCAGGGCGTCGTCTTGACTTGAGTCGTCTGCAAAGACCCGAGGTCCAAATAAGGTCACAGTCACAGGTGCTGGGGGCTAGGATTTCAACATCTCCTTTTGGGGACACAGTTCTACCTACTGTATCCTCCAAGGACCCTCAGTAGGGGGAGGGGAGCCCAGATAACACGAACCCTACATGCCGCCTGCCCAGGAGAAGTGCTGCTGTTGGTCATTTGGAAGCCAGTTAGGAGGCGAGCTGTGAGAGGGGCTTCTTGAAACCCCACCTGCAGGTCGTAGGTCCTCCGTCATCCAAGACGCGGCAGTGCTCTGCGTGCTGACTGCCTGGGGTCCTTTCTGTGTTGCCCACTTCCCA